TTATATTTTTTATACTGATTCTGTACAGTAGGAGGCTACATGTTTTAGTTAGTACAGTATTTATAAGCCAGTGGAACGGAATTTCATTCATATGTGCACTCTGTGTGTACAGTTGAATGACAATAACGCTATACCTACCTACTATCTATTAATTACGCATAAAACCCATCTTTTTACTTAAGTACCAGATATGGGTGTCATGCCATAATATTTTTAATACGACTGACTTTGTATTTAACGTGGATTTAATAAAAACACTGTAAGTTACTAATTATAACACTTTCAATGTACAGAAAGAGAAGAACATTATCATTGACTTCAGTCTAGCCAGAGTTCAAGCACTCTCAAAAACTCCCATTATAATCACTGAAGCAGTTTACAATGTGAAATGAATCTCTTACTTACTTTCGTACATTCACATCTGCACTTTGTTGTTTCTGATGAGAAAATTCGCCAGAGAGCAGAATTCAGTCAGGGAGCGTGCGCACTGAACAAAACACCGCGTTTCAGCAATGACTCATCTGAACGCCTCTGATTGGTCATTGAATTAATAAGCTCAACAGAATTGTGTGTGATTGGTCATAATATAATGATCAGCGCTGTAACAACGAGTCTGTCTCTGGCTCAGCGCCAGCCAAAGCGCAAACTCAGGTTTGAATTTAGCAGCTGATGATGTGCCGCACTGACCGTTCTAATCACACCGGCGTGATCGTATCAAATATAAAAAAACATTATTCAGCTATTTTTTTTGTCTTTTTGGAAGCTGCATTCAAATTCCAATTGGCTCAACAATCTCCGTCTGAATGGGCATGACAGAGGCGTCCCTCACGGTTGAAATCGCTTTCTGGGAAGAGCGTATTTCGGCAGGGCCCCCCTCTGGTCTAGTGCCCTGGGCACATGCCCGGTAGGCCCGTGCGTTAATCCGTCCCTGGCGGCAGCACGGTCTCGTGTTGTTTCCACCAGCGCGGCAAAAAAAAATTTTTTTCATTACTAATTGATGGATGTCTAAAATATAAAAATAGGAGAAGCCTAAAACAAGCCCGATGCCCGGCCCGCGTCTGAACTATGACTTGTCCCGAAGCCGGCCCTATAGGGCGTAAAAAAGTCGGGGCCCGTTGGGCCCGGGCTGAAATGCAGGGCTCTAGTTCGGGCAAAAGGAGACACCCATAGGTACTATGCAGCAATCACCCTTAATTGCAGAAATGTGGCAAAACATCCCTGGAGAGAACCTCAGATTATTAAATTCGAAAGTGCTTTCCATATTTGGATCAACATAGGCTACATTTGTGAACTTACATTTTCTGCAATGTCGCGCGTCTTACAGACTGCAACTTACAATCGCAACTTCATTGTGCTGTTACTCCTATCGAGCCGAATTTCACAGAATTGGTCAGATAATTGGTCAGCTCCCGACAGCATCAGGTGTTTTATTAATGGTTAGTATAATTATGTATTTATTTATTTCAATGAATGTAATCGATTAGATATCATAATATTTAGGCTATAATAGGCTATTATAAATCTGGTTGGTTTGTATTGGTGACATAATATGTAAATGATATGCGTGCGGCAATAGAAAAAAAGGTTGAGAACCACTGGTCTACAGCTATAAACACATTTAAGAAGGCATGTTAGTAAAATAAGTGTTATTTAAAAATTATTAGGAGATAATCGATATATTCAATCGCAGGCTGTTGCTCAATACTCTGGCGCCATATGCCCAATGAAGCTGTATAGATGGTAATGTGTTTAATGGGTTTTGCATGGTGTTAGTACAATTACATTACAAATCAAGATAATGTTACAAATAACCACTCATTTTAAACACTTATTTTAGTGCATTTAATGTCAAATGTATAGTTTTTTTGGATGTATACCAAATATGCAGTATTTGTCATTATAAATGAATATGTTTATATGTCGTTAGGTCAGTAGTGCCAGCATATGAGAGCGTTTCCAGGAGTCCTCTGTTGAACACAGCTCTAAGCTGTTGAATACCAAAGTTATTGGTATGGCACACGGCCATCCTAATTAGATTCATTTGTACTAGTATTCACTTAACATTAGCCGGATTTTAACAATTGTTTATTATTGCTTTCCTAGAAAGTTCTACATTTTCCTTCAAGGAGACAGACGAATATCAGAAGAATAAAATGTTTCCAGAGGTCAGATTTTCTTTTTTAAACTGTAAAAAGGGTATAATTACTTGAAAAATGTGGGGTCTTTTCCTAAGTAATTTTCAGTCATTTTACATGCGCTGATGTTTAGGTTATCTCCATACACAAACTCTTCTGGCAGTACTTCTGGCATTCTTGCAAATCATTAATCTACTTTTAAACTCACAATTTATTTATTCTAGGTTTTTCTTCAACAAGAGAAATCCTCAGAGATTTCTTTCAGAGATCTGAGAATTTAATTTTGAACACATACTAAACATTAATCATGAGTCGTCAATTTCATGAGCAATAGCAACTGTTGGAAGTGTGAGTTTAATTGTATGCAAATGAGCAGTAATGGGATTTGGGGTTATCCAGTGGAGGTGCAGACGCTAACCAACTGCCTTAGGAACACCTACTACCAACCAGCAGAAACTTGCCAAAGCACTATGTTTGATTAAGTTTTGTAATGTAACAATATAGTTACCTTTTCTTACCTTTGTTAGTGTGACTAACTATGAAAAGCTTGTTGTAATTACTTTGAATTATGTGTAGCTTGACAAAGTACAGTTTCAAAATGACTTCCCCTTTATTGGCTACTATATAAGGTTACTATATAAAACACTAATATACATAATAATATCTACTACACAAATATGTATCTACAAGTAAAACAAGTTCTACTACAAGTAAAAAGGTATCTGTCCCACAGCGTTTTCTGCTTCACTAAGGTATGCAAACATAATAATTAAAAGTGAACAAAAGGGAAAAAAATGTCTATAAACCCCTATGAAAATGGGTGATATGATTTGGGGGGGATTTTAACTCATATTTAACTCAATATGAGTTAAATTTCCACAAATTTAACTCATATTGTTAAATTTGTGGAAAATAGGCTAGCCAGACTGCAAAACAGAATACATGGTGGACATATGGTTTAAATTTATGGGCTCATGGTTGTTTACATGTTTACATTTCTTTTGTAAACAAAGCTTCATATTAAACTTGTGTCGTAATATTTATTAAAACAACATTTGCATTTTCTTCTTTGACCAGTTGACTAATATAAAGTATGCATATTTGGTCAACTAAGCCTCTCATCGATTAATGTTTCGTCTGTTGATGGAGAAATCCCTAGTTATTATATATATTAAATGATTGGCTAAAGAGATGTCTTTAATCTAGATTTAAACTGGGAGGGAGTCTCTGATCCAGGAACATTATTTGGAAGGATATTCCAGTTTAGGAGTTTAGCAGCCAAATGTAAAAATGCTACTCTTTCTTTATAGTAGACTTTGATGTCCTTCTACCTTTAAGGTTTTGCAACCTTAAAGAGTGTGATGGATTGTAGTATGATAAAAAAATCCCCCCCCCACATAACAAATCCCAATTTAACCCCTGCTTATAAGTAAGCAGCAATATCTTTCACAGGTACAATGAATTTCTAAGAGCACAATACATTCAACAGATGCACATTGAGGTGCCAATTTTATTTGCATCTGACTGCACTTTAAATTATTATGAAAAATGCCTCTTTATCTTCAATGAACAATGCTGTATAAACAACTGTTCATTAGCATACTGAGTGTAAGAATTTCCATTATCATCCTCCACTCATTATTTTGGATCTATTTTTATTGCACAAAATATGCATGACAAAAATGTTGTGTTTTCTCTTTCTCAGTCAGCATACTGAACCGCCATTTAAAGTTGCCTGTCGTCTCTTTTACCGTCTGCATTTGACAGGATTAGCATTTTAGCACAACATTCAGATAAGGGTCACTCTCGTCTGATCATGGCAGACATTTTAATTAGAAAGATGCAGAAAGTTAATTCCCCTCTCAGTATACCCCCTCAGATTGAAGGTCATGCGCAATTAAAATGTTCTGTCTGCTGTATTTGTTTCAATGCAACCACAAGTAACATTATTTAAAAAAATACATTGTGAAAATGTTTTGACAGAAATGTGCTTTATATGGTCACATGTAAATATCCAACTAGCATGGTTGGACTGAGTTTTGATTCTGGACAATAATAAAAAAAAAAAAAGCATTGCTTTAAAAATGCCTGGCCACAGTGTTTACTCAGAACCACAGTGTATTACTGATGGAATTTTTTTTATTTCAGAAAACAAATGACTATACATCTGTCCGTTTCCCAAACTGCTAATCCTATGTAAGTGGTCTTTGTAAATTACTTGCTAATGCATAAATAATTCAAAATACTGTTTTACAGTAGAGTACTTAATATAATGTTGTTATTTCAGGAGCTTGTTTTCAAAACAAGTACAGTTTTCACAATGTTTTTGTTAAACGTTGATACTTGTCTACAATAAAATATAAAATGTTTGGTTTCATTTTACACTTTCTCATCAGCTAAAATTAGATGCCATTTAAGTCAGAGTAGAACTGACTAAGGTTAATGAATATGGCATGACAAAATATTGATCTTTTAAACTATGATAATAACTATGAACAGCATACATATGACTTGTAGTACTCTCTGCATTATAAGCTAACATTGTAGAAAATATTTTAATTTGGAAAAAAAATACTTAATGCTAAAAACAATCACTTTTACCTAGTCAAAAATGTATGGTATGAGCATTGATCACGACACCCTCAGATCCCATATTCAACTGGAACACAAATGAAAGAGAAGTATGAAAAAGGAAAATGTTAAATTAGAACAGACGAGAACAGATAAGACCTTGGTAGAATAATCTTTTCAGCATTTAATAGCATCAGCGTCATTAAATAGCATCAAGTTTTACATCCTCTCTACAAGCAACACTAGATTAGAGAAGGTGAATCTGATTGCATTCTTTCCGTCGTCCCAGAAGACCTACACCTCCCAGCATGGCCGATACACTCTTCCCACCATGCACCTCATGGTGTCCCTTTTGATGATGGCGATGCTCGGGCTCAGGTCTGTTCCGACATCTCTGCGCTCTGTGCTGAGAAGGCTCTCGGGGAGACTGAGATGAGGGAGTCCTCTGTTCAGAGATGTTAGGGTCCTCAGCAGATTGGAGTCGGCCACCACGATGATTCTGGAGTTGCCTGGTGCGGATCTCAGAGAGTTCTCCTCCAAGCTCTCGCTCAAGCCTTGCAGATCTGGCTCTGTGTCTTCAGCTTTGGTCATGGGGATGGCAGCAGTTCTGAAGTAGCACTCGGACAAAAGTGCAACAGTGATGAGGACGGTACCAACGGAAAGCTTCATTCTTGATCCCGAGTGTTTCTTCAGTGGTTCAGCTGCTGTCTCCTGTGATGTCTTGCAAGCTGGTCTGATAATAGTGGCAACTTGGTCCATTTTTATAGGCCTATCAGCCATTGTCTGCAAATGTGCCACGTTATCCTTAGATTCACCATTGTCTTGGTTTCTCATGTGGCTATTAACAAAAACACAAAATCTCATTGAGAACCTGATGAGACCACTGACAGAGCTCAAGTGTTTTGTTTGGTGGAAAGTTGATTAAGATTTCCTGCAACGTGGCTTGTGTTCAGCACGCAGATGGCAGGGTTCCACTGAGTGGGCATCGTAAGAGGGGATGTAATTCCAGAATCCTCACACTTTGAAACAATATGAGAGGATTACAGACCTGTTGAAGAGTCCAAGTTAATAATAACTGTTTTCTCATTAGAATCACATGACAAAGTCATCAAAAGAGGCTCCAGCCCTAGTAGATCAAAATAAAGATCAACGCCCAGCAGGAGGTTGTATTATTTAATTTGGAAAAGTGCTGCTGATTCATGACAATGTTGCAGGTGTTTCGATTTGTATCAAGTATCATGTCAGTGCAGCCTGAATGGGGCTCCTGCTGGTAAATGCTGCATGATACAGAGAACATCTATACATTCATTGTACTCTGAATAAACTCACTGAATGAACCACACTGGCTATTCATTGAAAACATTTATCATGGCAAAGCAGGTGATTTGTAATACTTTGGTTGTTGTATTTTAGTATTCTAGTACATACAATAACTAAAGTTTTTACCACCTATAAACAACATGACCGTGGGGTGGAAATATTTTTCTTTTAAACATTTTCATTCTTAGGAGTAAGATTAATGTTTACCTGTTTACATCACAACCTAAAAAATACTTAATAAAATAAATTAAATAAAATTCCAAAATCAAAACCAATATCCAATAGCCACTCTTTCTTAATCTGTCAGAATTTAATCTTCCATGTCTAATGTACCCAGTTTTTCCTTCTTCTATCTTCTGATTTTTGGTCTACCTCCAAAAAACCCAAAGGATTTTGAAGACTTCTATATTTAAATCCCTCATTTAAAACACACAGTAGTCTCAGAATTGTTCTCAATAGGATAATCGCTTTTTTTGTCAGTTGAATTCAACTTTGGTTTTTAAAACAGAAGACCTTCTTCTGGCCCTTTGACTGGCTTAGTCATTTTCTATAATCAAAGGCCATGTCACAATGTACTGTGAAAACAGAAATGTCAAAAATAATTGGAAGCAAGGCCTCTAATAGGACATCTAACAGAACAAGAGAATCTAAAGTAAGAGATTATTCAACTGTGCAAAGTCTTGGGCTCGTCTCATTGAGAAGATGAAAGACTACAAAATAATAAATATACATTTTTAAGGCAAATCTTTCATATCAAGGACTACAGAAACAAACAAGTGATATTACAGAACATCCTACAACACCAGAGAACATCTAAATTTATAATTTAGTGCCCAATTAATTATCCTTCCGTTGCCCACCCCAGTAATTAAATGTATATATGATGATTCATATCTTCCCAATATACATCGCCCTCCCCAATAATAAAATGTACGAAATATATGATGATTCATATCTACTGCATAAATATTAAAGGTCAATTTAAAGTGAACCACTGTATAGTTCCTGTATAATTTCCCTCCTCTGTAGTGTGTCCACAGTGTATCGTTTGATTATCTACCAAACAATCATTTCCACTGAGGTGAGTTAAGAGAGCAACTGTGAAACAATAATGAGGCTTGGAACCATGGGAATAGTGTAATCACAGCTGGGATAAGAAAGGCTGGTTTCAAACAAAAGACCTAAAATGGGAAAGCATTCTAAACTGTTTTAGTAATATGCAAACAAGCTCATCTGGTGCGCATTAGGAACAAGGTGGGTGGATTTTACTACTAGATGGTCTGTGGGCTCTAAATGTCCTTTCCTCTTGTTTTGGGGGATTTTGAACAAGGCTGGACTCCTTGCCACCACATTTCCTCTCCCACAGGGTGTTTCTGTACATGGCAATATGACGAAATGGACTTTCTCACTCAAAATAAATAGAGAAAAAATCACAGTAGAGTTGATTGATTGTGCAGATGTACTGTGAGGAGATATTACTTACTGGTTGTTCAAGATGCAGGAAACACATTATTCTCTTGAAAAAAACTAGTAAAAAGACATTTTGTGCATCTACATTTGCATACTCATGGACTATTGTATGCAATTTTGTAGTATAAATTGTAGTATACAACAAGAAAAGGTTAACTTTAAACACCTGGATGATGCACTTATTTAACTGGAAAAAAAAAAGGTAAAATAAACGGAATACTGAACACTTTGTGTAGCTTTAATTGCGGAAGGAGAGGTGCTCTCAGACACTATGGTACTATGTTACGTACTATAATGCATAGTTTAATTGCATGGTATATAATGTGTCATTTGGGACTCTACTCTTTTTGCTACATATTGTATGTGCATGATACTTTAAGGGTCATTTACACCAAGAACGATAATAATAATGAAAACTATAATGATGTCTATATTCACATCCACACCAACACAATAACAATCTATTTGTTTTAAGCAAGTGCTGCAGTTTACAGTATATCATCTGTGCTTTAAAATCTTGTGCTCTTTAAAAGGATTCCGATTGGCTCCAACACCTGTTCCAAACCTGTGTGAGTTTATTTCAACATTTCTTCTGTTGAACAAAAAAGACGATATTTTGAAGAATCTTGGTAACCAAACATTTGAGGTTAGCCATTGACTAGTTATCACTTATGATCAAAATATTTTGTTGTGCACCATTTTCAATCAAGCTGTAGTAAGACCATAGAAACCAATCCAAACCCAAGCAACCACATAACTGTACCCTGTGTAGTGATTGGTACTCACGTCACCAATGGCATTGTGATTTTTGGATCACACATCACTTAATATGTGGTTATATATCAGATGACCATTTTCACAGCACCAGTTTTTTACTTGGCAAAATTAGAACACTCCCAACCGGAGCTGTTTGATAGTGATTAAGAGATTAAGTTGGGTGTTGCTATGGCAGAATTATGTTATCATATGGAAAGATAAATTGTCGCTTCTCTGAAATTAATAAGCTGAATAACCTTATTATGCATCAAACAAAGAAATACATTTTATTTTTTACCTGACATCAGCTATAAAACATCTCATGTAAATTAGAAAATCATATACTGATAATATACAACAATGTTGACCCATGATCGAGTGAGCAGTCCAATGGTGGTGACTTCTTCCACTGATTGTGTATGGGTAACAATGCAGTGAGGAAAGGAGCAGAAATCCTTTTCAACAGTCTTGAATTTAAAGCGCTGTGGGATGCTGATCTCCTGGAGCACCAAAGAGTCCTAAAATTGGGAACACGCAGATGATTGACTCTGATCACGACCGGGTTTTCTCAGACCGACTTGGGTATCGTGCACTATGTTAAAAATACCTGGCTGGGACCCAAAGTAATAGATTGGGACCTGACCTTGACATGGGTGACTTTTTAAAATATGGACCCAAACCCATACCCTCGGCTTCCCGATTCCTCGTGTTCAGTCTGGACCTGTGAAGACCTCTTGTCTCTGTTACTGTCTCTCACCACACAGGCTGGAGACTCAGAACAAGGTGTGTCTGTTGGAGAAGGAGATTACATTTTGGCGCTTTTCCATTTCAGTTCTGTGATTGACTGCTGGCATCAGAGGGTGGAATTCATTTGCATAGTCCAAAACACACAGTTAGAAAAGTGTCCTGAAAGTTTGGCATTACTCACTTACTAAACCACTACCAGAATACCTTTGGTGATGTTCTGAATGCATAAAGTACGAACATGATGTAAAAAGATCAAACTGGTATGAATGCATTTATTTGTCCAATAACAGCCATTTTGTGTAAGATTTTACACTACACATAGCTGCCACCGAGAACGCCTATTTCTCTGAATAAGTATGAAATGTGTTGTAGTTTGCATCAGTTTCAAAGCATAGTTAGTATGGATTTGAATGGATCACTGTGGCCTCGCTTTGTTTCATCCACTGCTGCAGCATCCTGAGGTCCTAAGGAATTTTTATGGCGGTCACAGGCCAAAACCTAAGGAATTATTCTCTTGATGGGTGAAAGGCAGAAATAGCATGTGAACCAATGAGAAATCCTGTCCTGCGTGATAACAGAGGTCTTCTTGCCCTCTAAAAGGTGTCTGGCCATTGTCCTAGCATCCTTATTTGATGGCATTTTAGACATTTGTTTGTGTTAGTCCACCACAATCCAATCAAAATGTAGCAAACCTTTCTCCACTGCTGCAGTCAGAGAAGGGTTTGGAATGTACTGTTCACCTGGCAACCACCCCCAACACCTTAACACCAGGTTTTGCACAGGCAAAACTATTACTCACATTTTCTTCAGGATATTTAAAAAACTATTTATTGAACATGTTTGTAACATTTGTAACATCTTTATTGAACATATTTTTACAGTTTTTCTCGATTGCTTAAACACATTTCTTGAAACTATGCCTCGTATTCTCAAAGCAGTAAACACAAATCCATAACGTCTCACCCAATTCCCCAAACATCCTATTTTCAGGTCAAAATGAAGCTCTACACTCAAAACCATTCACTCTTGCTGAAAAACCAAACTTTTCCCTCAGACATCACACACAAGCTTTCAAAAACACACACACACTACAACATAGTATTACACACTGGTGCAATAAATTCAAAACAATATATCCAAAACTGGTAAGTTATGTTGCTTGTGGTTCTCCCCCTCAAAAACCTTTTCACATGAACACAAAAGACACAACCAATGTATACATTGGCACATTTTTATTCATTCATGTACTACACAGCACAACCTCCTTTGAATCTCTCACAGGCAGATTACATTATTGGCAATGACCATGTTTACAAGCTCACTCTCTTGCTCCTCCGACAAAAGCCTTAACCTGCCTCCACCAGGTGGTTGTCTCTGTGTCCTACAAAAACAGAAGCACTCATTACT